CTGACTATACAATTACTTCCAGCTATGATCTATTTACATTTCAGGCAAAGGGCATTCTACTCAGTGTTTCACTTGACAGATACCTTAAAATACATCATTAAAACTGTTTTCACTTGAAATATTCCATTCTGCATCTTAGCATACCCCATTATGAGATCCTGCCAGAGCAGAAGAGTTATGCTTTAATACTTTAAAATTCAAAACCACCCAAACCCAACTACTGAGACTGAAGATCTTTCTCCTTCCTCATTTTCAAAACCCAGCTGATAATGAAACTGTTTTCAAATACAGACCCTGAAAATACCAGCTGAAATACTTATAACAGAGTGCCTTCTACCAAGGGTAGAATACCCATAGCTTCAGTCTGCTGCAGGTAGGATAACTGAACAGCCTCCAAGGCTTCCTACCAATTCATAAAACTCATCAACTTCCACGATGAACAAGACATCAAAATGGAGGGCACTGCTACCATCACAACAGATCTCATGCTACAGATTTTTCAGGTCTACTCAATTAGTGCATTTCTGCTTACACAGACAGAGAAATATCACAGAACAGGATATATTGCAGAAACTATTCAGGTAAAATTTACCAGTTTCGAAAAATAAAATTAAAATCTAAAAATACAAACAAAAAACCCAAAACAAATTCTGTCTCCCGGTGATAAATTAATTTTGTATTAGGCCTTCCTACACTACTGCCCTGAAACACAGAGATGCTTCAACCACAGCTCATTTCATCACTGCTGCCTAACAAACCATCATCACCCTGTTACAGTCTACCAGATTTACAGCAAAGAGAGCCATTTTATTCCTCACCTGGTAGATAATTAGCATACAAATCAAAGTAGGATGCAGGTTCCTGTTGTCACAATAAAAATATTACAGTATCAGCAGGAAATTTCTGCATCAAAGAGGTATGGAGCTTGCTGGTCTCACAGTGTATCTGGTATGACAGACTGACTTGCACCCTTGTAACAATTTATGTCACATTTGTACTAAAGGTGCATTTTTACTGTGTATTTTCTAGTTAACGATATCCACTTCCTATCACAACATGTGACTGCAACAATGCAGATATGCTTCCACCCTGACAACTTGGCAACTGCAGACTCCTGTTGTGGCAGAATTATCCCAAGTGAGATGGGATGGCTAGAAGCTCCTGAGCCCTGAAACTCCTCACATCCAAGGAGAACAGTAATCCACTTAAGTCTAGCCAAGGACACATCACCTTCCCTGACATTATTAAAAATCCCCCCAAAATCATCCTCTGCTTACTTCAGTCCCTGTATAAAAACTGTACTTGCAAGAGCAAAGTCTGACAACAGCCTCAAACATCAAACTTCCAATAACCAGGAACTGATTCAAGAGACCTGGTCTGTGGGCGCTGGCTTCTGTGAGAAATCCCACCTTCTCCTCAGCATGGATGTGGAGCTTTGCACTGCAGTTAGTACTTCCTGGCTTCTCTGACCACTGTCAGACTTATATCTTCAGCAAATATCCATTGTTTGTAGTTTATCATCTATTTATCCTATTACTATCCCAAGCTGGAATTCTTGTGACCTGCCAACTACCCAAGTCCTTGTCCATCTCTCACGCACGCACCCACAGCTGGCCTGTGTGCCGAGAGAGACAAACACTGGTTATGAAGACTAGACTCCGTTTAAGAGTTTTTAAGAGGATTGCCTGAAAAATACAAAACAGATCTACTGAATACATAGTACAGACCCAAATATCCAAGTAGAGAGTTGCTTTCTTGCTCTTTGCTTATACAGCAGTAGAGTACAGTACTCAGCAGTGCTGAATACTCTTCCCATGAGTACATCTGTTTTCAGCAAAGAAATTCTACTCATAGCAATACCTCTGAATGTTAGTATACATGAAGACTCACGTAAGGAAATAATGGCTATTTCTTCACTACCACGTGGAAGTTTTAAGCTAGCAGATATTACACAATGCAGATTAATGTGGGAACATGACACTTCAAGTAGCTCCTACCCCTGCTTGATTTCAGGGGGGTTCCGGTTTTTTCCAAACTTTTGAGATGTAGTTGCAAAATGTGACGAAAGTACTTGTGTGACCCTGCATGTTTATGCCGTCTGTGGAACAGGGTCCTGAATATAACAGTATTAAACCAAAAGACTGGAGGGAACAAGACACAGAAGCCTCCTCCTAATATAGAGCAAGTTGAGTATATTTTAACAGGTATAATATCTACATTATTTATTTGACTTATGGATCAAAAAATATCTACATTATTTATTTGACTTATGCATCACCTTACACTGAACTGTGACATCTTGGGATGATACTCAGGAATTTCAGCTGTGCACTGCATTTTGATTCTCCAGTCAATTGAAGACTGAGATTTTAAAACCTATTTCACAGTTAAAAGAGGAAGGTTTGTAATTGTCAGGAAAAAACTATAATCTCCCTTTTCCGCTGACTTTGTAATCATACTTTTAAAATTCATTAATTTACCTAAGTGCTTCTGACTCCTGCCATCACTTCTGTCCTTAATGGATGACATACAGATTGAAGAAAAAAACATCTAAATCTGTGTTCAAAATAGAGCTCATTTTTCTGTTAGGGACCATTTACATTTTATCGGTTTTTCAGCTAAAATGTACTTTCCATTCTCTGAAACAATCCTTTCCAAAACTCACTATAACTATGTGCACATCACCTTGAATTACTTCAGACAAACAGTAGAAAAAGATAAACATAGATGTCTCTTTTGTAACCAACAGTCATTAATTTAACCAGAAAAAGTTGTTACAGTCTGAGTTGGTAACAGGAATTCTTGCAGGACCTAACCTACATCCAGGAACTCCTGGGCTGACACCGAGCCAAAGTAAATTGCTGGAAACAGGGTCACACTATGACTTGTACAGGGTAGCAGGAGGGAATCAGAGCTGAGCCTGACCTGCTTATACTGGCAAGAGCACGGAGAGATGAAAGAAACTGGGTGTGCATGATGTGTGCACTACCCAAGAGCTTGATGAGACTTGAAATGAGGTGGGGACTAGAAAAGGAAAGCTGGGTAATCGGGGAGCTCCTGAGCAGGGAACAGAGGCTAAAACTCCTGATCCATAGTCTCTTTCTGGTCAGTTACCAGTTGCAATTACAAACTGAAATTAACAGCCTGGTGTTAAGTTCACACTATATGTATCATAACAAGAAAAAACCTTTCCCATGCAGATAGGGTCCTCCAGGATGAAAAGCACTATTTGATCCAACTACAACATTACGAATAAAGATGCAAATAAAAGTTTGAACATTTGCAAGGCAAAGTTTACTGACAATCCAAGTCTGCAGTTACTTCTGCACGCTAACAGAAAACTGTTTAGACAGGGACACTATACAGTGTTTATCTTCTGTTAACTGAAATGCATCCCCAGGGTTTCAAGGTTTCTGTACTCAAAAAAGACTCAAAAGGAAAAGAAATATTTTCAGGAGTTACCAGAAGTAAAATTCAAAACAGAGTGAAGGCCAGGCAGAGACAAACTAATGCTCCCTGTGGGAAGTTTGCAGGGGTGCCAAAATATACAGAGGAAGCAACATTTGAAAAACAAATCCCCGAAGACCCCATATTTTATTTTTCAAAAGACAAACAGAACACATGAAAAAAAAGGTTTCAGAAAGTTCTTTGAATCTGCCCCAAAGTAAGCCAGAGCCTCTGGTTAAGTAACTGTAAGAATGCTGTGCAAGAATGGCAGTTCAGCAGTCGAAAAGCTGAGGTACCAACTTCCATACAAGAAACAGGTCTTCTTGGTCACTGCCCCCAAGCCAAGGTGGAACACATGGGGTGTGGGTGGCTGGGAAACCTTCATATGTAAAGATAAGGATCTTGTAGAAGGGAACCCTCCATGCTAATCTTAAGGTGGTATTACAAGCAAATATATTCAATACATGGAAACATATAACTTGCTATGAATAATTAGGTGAAACTTTGGCAGTAGTAAAATGGAAATAAGGAGGAAGGCAACACAATATGGATAAACAAACCTGTGCTTTGCCTGAAGCTTTCAAAAAAAGGAACTGCTAAAATAGTTTTGCAAAGACACCTGAACCTACACAAGACTTACGAAAGTCACAGTCGCAGTTTGCAGTTGTGTTCTTCGTGACAACAAATACTCTTTAAAAAGAAAACAAAATAAAATAAATTGAGCTTGATAATCTTGAGTTTTACGCACTGTGTGTCATCACCTCATCGCCAAGGCGTGATTCGGAAACAAGACACAGCAGCACGCAGCCAGGCTACTTACACTGTCTGGAAAAGCGCCCGCTAAGATCATGTTGCAGAAATAATTCACACCTGCAGCAAAGCTGCACAAAACATCATCAACTCGCCGACTTTGACAGACATATGCCGGCCGAGGCGGGAGGGGGGGATGTGAGAGTATCTATAAAGTCGAATATGAACAAAAAGTAGGAAATCCCCTTTCCGCACCCCAAGCGAAGCCGGGCAGAACCCGAGCGCTTCCCTCGGGCACATCCTGCCGCGGCCCCACCGGCGGGGTTGGCTGCACCGCCTCCTCCCCGCCCGAGCGGCCTCGGCAAGGGGGCCCGGCCCGGGATGTGCCGGAGGAGCCACGGCCCCTTCGGCGGCTTCGAAGCCCGGTTCAACCCCAGGTCGCCCGGCCCCAGGTCCACCCCAGCCCCGCCGCCCTCTCCGGGCGCCTCGCCCCAGGCCGGCCCCGCACAGCCCAGCGGGGCCGGGACCACCCCGAGCACGCCCCGAGGGGCGGGAGGGGACGAGCCGCTCACGCCGCGCCCCCGCCGCGGGCATCCCGGGCCCGCCTGGGAAGGGGAGAGAAGGGGAGGGGAGAGCGGCGAGAGCGGCCCGGGGAGGGGCGGCCGGCGGCGCCCCCGGCCCGCCACGAGCCGCCCAGCGGAGGCGGGGGGCAGTGGGGAGGCCCCGGCGCCCTCCCCCGCCGAGCGGAGCCGCCCCCTGAATCCCGGGCAGCGCCCCGGGGCGCCGCCCCCGCCCGCACTCACCCGCCGAGCCCAGCAGCAGCCACAGCAGCCACATGGCCCCGCGCCGGCCGCCCCGCAAACTTCGGGGCTGCTCCGCCAGTGCGGCCCCACGGAGCCTGCGGCGGGAGCGGCGGGGCGGGGGCCGGGCCGGGGAGGGCCCGGGGCAGTGCTGCCGCCGCCCCGCCCCGCTGGGCCGTCGTGCCCACCCGCGGCTGCCGCCCCGGCCCGCCCGGCCTCGCCGCTGGGAGCCCCTCGCAGCTGCTGCCCGTCGGACACCTAGGGCCGCTTCTGGGGACCGTGCAGGGTTGTGGTGGCTTTAGCGTGTCACATAACAACCCCTCCGCTTGCAGTGCGGCGGCGGGCAGGAGCCCTTCAGTAACACCTGGCAGAGTCTGGGTCAGAGCTGCACCCCTGCAGATGGGCTGTGCCCTCACGAGCGGCACAAATGCTCACTCAACCCCTTCCGCAGTGAGGGAGGGGTACGTTGCTCTCAAAAAGCTTCCCCTTAACTTCATTCCCTAACCAGAAGAAAAGAAACATTTTCATAGCCAGTCAGTCACTGAATCACAGAATCAATTAGCTTGGAAAAGATCTCTGTTATCATCAAGTCCGACCTATGACCGAACTCCACCATGTGAACTGGACCACACCACCAAAGTGTCACACCCAGTCTTTCCTTAAACACCTCCAGGGACAGTGACTCCACCATCTCCCTGGGTTGTCCATTCCTATGTCTAATAGCACTCTCTATGAAGTTCCTCCTAATGTCCAACCAAAACCTCCCCTGACACAGCTTAAACTATGTCCTTTCATCCTGTCACTAGCTGCTTGAGAGCAGGAGTTGACTCCCACCTGGCTACAACCTCCTTTCAGGTAGTTGTAGAGGGTGATAAAGTCACCTCTGAGCCTCCTCTTCTCCAGACTAAAGAACCCCAGCTCCTTCAGCCAGTCCTCATAGGACTTGTGCTCCAGACCCTTCACCACCTTTGTTGCCCTTCTCTGGGCTAACTCCAGCACCTCAAAATCCTTTCTAAATTCAGGGGCCCAAAACTGGGCACAGTACTTGAGGTGTGGCCTCACCAGTGCTGAGAACAGGGGAAGTTAACACAAACAGAAATCAGAGCTAGCCTGTGAGATTTACTATCCTAGTAAAGCTCTGAAATCCAGCATTTGGAAAACTTAAATTGCATTTTCAGTCTAGGGGCCCAATGCTGACCTCACTTGGCTTCTATGGGAGCAGGAGTGGGCCTTCTTTTAAGAAACATCATTTTTCAGTATATGATGACCAGGAAGAAACCCACGTTACTGAGTACCATTCTGCTTTCATGGGAAAATCACAGCCTATTCATTAAGTGGTACCTTTTGGTTGTAAAGTATTCCTCTGTGTGTCTGTCAAGTACATAAGTAGATCTGCATGTGTATAGAATAAAGTTTAACTCTCTAAAAAGCTTGCAGCATGTATTTAAGAGCTGAAGAGGCAGGCTTAGTGCAGAAGGTATTTTAGCTAAGAATTAAAGCCAATTTATAGCAGCAAAAAGCTGCCAAATGATTTCTAAAACGGTGCTCAGCTAATCTGCACAATAATACTGTTTCAAGCAGAATTCTTACAATTCATGTTTAACTTAGAGGAGCTCGAGGAGATTTACTGATAAGGATTTCACAGCATTTGGAAGGATGAATTTAATTTTTTATTTAAAATAAGTATTTTATTCGAATACCTAGCTTTTAGCTTCTGTTAGTTCTTCAGTGGTATTTTAACCCCTGATAGCTAACTGTCACATAGAAGTCAGCAAAGAATAAAGGCTCCAGTGTGATTTCTGATTACCTTTTGGGTGTTGAGTTACATGATTAAAAGTGTAATCCCTGTTAACACACAGATGCAGGGAGAACAAAGGCAGAGAAACCTCAGTAACTTCATCAGGGAAAATGGAGCATGCAACATTGGCTGCTCCCAAGCACATCAGAGAAAACTGATTAAGCCTTCTTATCTGGTGTGATGTCTGCCAAGAAACTCCCAAATGCCCTGCAAACTACACATGGTTATTGCCTATGGCATAGGACACGTTAAGGGATGCAATGGGAGCAGCGTTTTGAGAACATGCAAGACTTATCTACCATAGAGTTTAGGGCATAGACCAAATGAAGGGAGAAGCAAAGTTTGAGGCAGCTAGAGGAGGAAAAAACATGGGAAAATAAAGGAAAAAGGGGATGAAAGGGGATAGTCAGGTCTAGCTGAGCCGTATGTCTGATCACCACAGCCTGTCCTATATTCCAATTAAATCCTGTTTCTAGCTCTCTTATATGTATGTGCTCTGTCAATTCTGTGTGGGTATACATGAACACTAGCAAACTTCAAACTAGATTAGACAATAAACAGTCTGAGTATGTGTAACTGAATGGGACCACAGACCTCCGGTCAACAATATTTAATTCACTTTACCCTCATATGAACTGCCTTCATATAATCAGGGTAGATGGCTGCTCATGTCCCTCAAAGCAAGATGTGATCCCAGCTCTGTTGCAGACTTCATGTGGCCTTGAGCAAGCCACTCTTGTCAATCCATGCTTTGACTCTTGATGAAACTATGGGCCACCTACACCACAAAGATAAAGGATAAATAAATAATTTCAGGTTGCTCACAATGTGGCTAGATTCTGAATGGCTACTAGTAATGCAGAGCACCAGCCAATAATCAGAACAAACAAGGAATATATTCTGGAAAAAAAGATTATTTTCTTGCTTCTATTATCTTCATAGAAAATGATGCTGGAGTAATGACAAGCTGTGCTTGGCCTGTGGTTTTGGTAGGATCCATTACAAGAAAGCCACTTTTTCTATCTTTGTGAACTGTGATTGAGGGCTAGAAAGAGAAATTTTCTTCAGAGCCAAGCTTATCACAGAAGACTTATTTGTATCAGTACAAGATCAAAGAATTACAGAATCACAGAATGGGTAAGGTTGGAAAGGATCACTGATGGGGTCATCTGGTTCAAACTCCCTGCTCAAGCAGGGTTTCCCTAAAGCACATTACTCAAGATTGTGCCCAGGCAGCTTTTGAGTATCTCCAGTGAGGGAAACTACAGAACATCTCTGAGAAATCTGTTCCAGTACTCAGACAACCACAGAGTAAAGTTCTTTCATATATTCGGGTGGAACTTTCAGTGCATCAGACTCTGCCTATTGCCTCTTGTCCTATTGCTTGGAACAACCAAGAAAAGTCTGGATCCATCCTCTTGGCACCCTTCCCCCCCTCGATACATAAATAAAAAACCAGATACATTGATGAAATCCCCTCACAGCCTTCTCTTCTCCAGGCTGAACAGGCCCAGTTCCCTCAGTTTCTAGTAAGAGAGATGTTCCAGTCCCCTGATCATCTTCATAACCTTTTGCTGGATCCACTCCAGGAGCTCCATGTCTCTCTTGTACTGAGGAGCCCAGAACTGGACACAATGCTCCAGATGTAGCCTCACTAAGGCTGAGCGGAGAGCAGATCTACTAGCCAAAGCTTCTGACACTTCCTTCACTGGTCTAAAAGATGTGGGATTTTGCTGCTGGATTTGAATATACAAATGCAGCTTCACTTTCTGACCTATCTTGAAATGAAATCATCAAACATCTCATTTATAAGCATCCCAATCTCCTGATAAACAGCATTTAATAAAACTTCACGTAAGGGCAGTGTTCGCACAACTTGCATAGTTGCACTCTTCCACAGGAAGTTCTGAGGAGGTTGGGGATGGTCTCTTGTGTGAGTAACACGTGAAATGCAAGAGGTACACAATTTTTGTCCCTATTCACATCACAGCTCTATTCTGTCCTGCCTAGAAATGTCATTGGGGTGTATCTGTGAAAAAATCAAATACTCTTTCAGTAAATGGTGTGTCAAAGTTTGGGCATCCAATGACAGTACAATAGGTATGAGGATGTCTGGCTTTGGCATAAAGTTCTCTCTCCATGTTACTGTGTTGCAAATTTAATCTTTGTACTGCAAAATCTACCACTGGGATTGTAGGATTTAAACCCTTTTTGGTAACATATTCTTTTGAGAAGTCCAGATCAAAGACAACCAATAACATAGAAAGTTTCCTACAAAAAGCATTATCCAGATGTTTATTGAAACTAATCTCTGCCAAGTATTAACATAAAGATTGCCAGTTTTTAGGCTTTTGTAGACCATAGAATGTCTTCAACTCACATTGGTAGACCTGCCATTCCTTACCTGGGGGAACAAAGCATTATTCCTAAGTAATATATAATGGCCAGTCTTCGCGAGCGAAGATCCGGGGAAGGTCTTTCCACCTTCCAGCCTGCGCATTGGATTTTTTAGGTGAGACACAGTGTGCGCGGAACTGAGCCCACCCTTTAATCCTAAGGTTCATTTGCCGGGGCCAAGCGAGCTTGGACGGTGGCAGCGAGGTCCTCAGGACGTAGGTGGGTTGCCTTTAAGGGCTAACGAGCCCCACCTGCCCGGGAGTGGCCCTGACCGGGAATCGAACCCGGGTCTCCGCGGTGATAGCGCGGCGCCTTTACCCCCTAGACCACCAGGGGCTCCATTCCTAAGTACATTGCAGAGGATCTGCATCCCAGGAGAACCTGACCTTTCTAGGAGGTACCAATGCTCAGCATGTTGTAAGCTGAAGCTCAAATTTTTCATTTCTTGTTTCTAATCAGCTCAGTATACAACCTATATTTAATTTCACAATCTTTCTTATAAGCTAGAGGTTGATTTTTTAGGGAGTTCACATTGGTTTGAGGAAAAAAAGCAAAATGCAATAATGTGTTGAGATGCAATCTAAATTTGCTGGCTTCAATCTGTAAATAGTGCTCTGAAAAGAATTAATTCTAGTAATTTATATGAGTCATGCCCAGTGACAGGAATGATACTGATGAAAAGTCAGGACTGTTGTAATTAAGGATAAAAATCTGTAATAATATATTGAAATATTTTGTATATGACTGAATTGCCACTTAGCAAGCTGGAGTGGAGTTTGGAGCTGTGCTTAGCAACAGCTTTTTGAAAGATTCAAAATAATCAAATTTTTAACATACTGCAGCAAAATGATAAATGAAGATCCAAATACATTTATAAATTTGTCATGACCATTA